TTCTGAAAAAAAGTGACATGTGCGGTTAGAGTAATCAAATTACTTAGTAACTATTCGTGCTGCCTGTTTTTGGAGTTTAAATATTAATTCACTGTTTTTAGCGGAACAACTCCCCAAAACTGAACAAGCGTAATCATTGCCAGGTTGCATAGTTGTCTTACATTAGGTATTCAATAGATTACTATTTACAGTTGAGCTTAGTCTTCTTAATGCATGTACTTCATACGAAAGTAATCGACATAAACGTTTTAACGTGAATACCCCATGTAAGGTGACATTCATCATCAACTCCAAGATATATCTCACATTATGTACTTGTTGTAATATATTTCCATCAATATTAATTTGAGTTCACCCTTATGTTTTGAATTAAGTCGAAATAAGCATGACATTTGTTTTTAAAACATATATTTGTAAACCTTTTTCATGATACAAATTATTAATATCATCAAAACAAGTTTGTAATCTTCTTTCTATTTTAGCAAAATTTGAACCAGAAATATGACATCATCAGCAAATATGTTACAACTTCCACCAGAACCACTTTGAACATTATCATTAATCAAAATCAAGAAACAAATCTGGCCCTAAAACCCCACCTTGCGGAATACACACAGTTAACTTAATTGGTTTAGATTGTCTTTCATGACATCAAACAACCTGCCTTCTATTTGAAAGATAACTTATAAACCATTGAAGCTCATTTCCTTTAACACCATATTGTTAAAGTTACATAAGAGAAATTTATGATCTATTGTATCGAAACATTTAGATATAATTATCTAGACATCAAGCGCCAACCATTACATGATTATTAAGGGCTTCGTACCAGTCATCAACAACCAGGCGCGGATCCAGGATTTCTTAGGGGAGGGGGCCCAACTTTTTTTTTTTTTGCTCCCGAAAATTTGAAAATCGCGCCGGCCGAAAAGTCGCTCAGGGGGGGGGGGGGGGGGGGGGGGGGGGGGGGGGGTAAGCGGACACTTTTTTTTTTTTTTTTGGAGTCCCAAAAAAAAATCGCAACGACTCAACCAGCCGAAAAGTCGCTCAGGGGGGGGGGGGGGGGGGGGGGTAGTGAGCAACAAGATGGAGGCATGTTACAAAAAACAGATTGATTCATGAATACCAATGGGGCCGGGCCTAACATGCGACTATCTCTGAATACAAGTATGAAATCTTGCGCTTAACCAAGTAGGTCCATGGCCTAACTAAATCATACTCATGAGGTCTCATCTAAGTCCAGATTCAATATCTATTAAAACATTTCTTCGCAGCCGGACGGTTGAATAGTAATAGTAATAGTTTTGATGCTGCTTGTAAGTATCGGCTTGCATGGTGATGTAGATATACAGTAGGCTTGCGGATGCACCATGTGAGAGAGAGGGAGGATTGAGGAGTCCTGAAAAGGACTCTCGGTAATCATACGGGAGGATGTGTAATCCTGAAAAGGACTGTTGGTGTAGTCTTAAAAAAGAATGTTGGTTATCTTTCTTAGCGTATAGTTCTAATGAGAACTATAGCGCTTGGAGAGGATGGGTGGCGGAGTGGCTCTACGTTTCGAACAGGTTGACTATCCGTCGTCAGGAGTGATAGTTTTATATATAAACACATTCAAAACTAACTACATGTATATACAAATGTACAGTTACAATGATGAGCCAAGGAATTGAGATGTAAAATAGAAAAACAAAAATTGTTCTCAAATTGTACTTATGCTTCTGTGAATTCCTGCTGAAATATGAATTATACAGGTTCCAGTCTAAAGAAAGTAATTAGTATGGGTTGTAAGAAATTAATATAGAAAAATGACATCATCAGGTTGGTTAATTCTTCGAAGCTAATTTACAATTGAGAAATTTTCGAAGTAAAACAAAGATAATTATCTGACTGAATGTTTATACAAAATATGACGATATCACATTAAAATACCTCCTGATATTTCGACTAAAATCACACCGGAAAATGTCCATAAAGTTTATTAAGTGAAATTGAAGTGCCATTGTTTATAGCATTGAACATTTTATAGCAGTGAACCATTGTTCACGTTTTACAAGCTTTGCTTGTAATGGATCACTCTTTTTCATAATACGTTTTTCATTATGTTTCTTTTCATTAATTCTACGAAGTATGCATTTTCATATCATGTTATACTACGTTTTCATCTTTTTGTTTTATTACTATTATCATTTATATTGTACTGTGCTGAAAACAAATCTAATTTGAACGAAAAAAAAAATATTCTTAGTACATACATACATACATATTGGTATTTATTTAGCGCCTTTACATGAACATGCTCAAGGCGCTTTACATTTCAAAATACAAACATAATACTTATATACTCTCCAAGTGCATTACACTCTAAAAAAAAAAAAAAAAAAAAAATACATCATGATACTGAACTGAACAGATTATTTTCCCAGTTATTATTCACATCGGGTTATACAATTGCAGAAATGAGCTAGTCGCCTTAGAAACTTTCATCTCTTGCTCTCTTTGCTCTTTTATAATTGAATATTAATATATCAGACAGGTATGATAATATGCAGCTACAAACTAGAATTTCGAAGCTGCAAATGTGGTACTCGATTACTCCCTCCTTTTTTTATTGACATTTCTTGTACATACATGTACTAGTTTTTATTCCCGTCAAACTCAATCTGTTGATAATTCTCAATTCCCAGAAATAAAAGATCCTTTGCAAATTCACTCTATTTATCACCTGCAAAAAGCTGTAGAGTTCTTTAGCAGATAACATTTAAAACTAAGTGTAGCTCCAATCCTTTCCAAATAATACATCATGTTCATGGCATAAAGTTGGCCATTTCGCCAATTGTTGTACTTTATATGTTGGTTGTTGTTGTTGTTGTCGAGACGAACGCGCTCTTTGACAGGTGCTTATCCTTTTCAGCGTGAGAACAGCCAGGCTACAAAAGAATACAAATGAAATGATAAAGTGTGAATGTAATACAGTTGGCGTTGAAATGCTTCAAATCATAATATTCTAGGAAGCGTTTCACATTAGTTTGTGGGGAAGGAGTTGTCAACAAATGTTAAAGTTTTTCTCGTAGGAAACTTCAATGTATTTATATGTGATGTTTTCATGTTAATGATATTATAATGTAACCTTCAAACTAATGCTGATCCCTCTAGCTTCATACATGAATATATAGAGAGAGGTCTATAAGATTATGTGCGTGTGTGGGGGCGTCCGTGTGCGTTTGTGTGCATGTGGGTGTATGTACGTGTGTGTATGGGGAGTTTGTGTGTGTGTGAGTGTTTGTATTTAGTTGGTAGTTCTTCCCATTTCCATAAAATGCCTAAAAAGTGGATGATTAAGAAATGTAAGGCAATGCTGAGAAAAGCGTTTATTCTTTAAATTGCGATTCACGGTTCATTAAAAGGGGCATGTCTGTAAACGTGTAACAGCGACTGTCGGATCAAATACCTCAAATGTACAGAAATATTTTAAAGTATTAAAGGTATTGTATCAGAATGTGCATTATCCATAATCTACACAAACAAAACAAGATCTACCTCTTTATTATGGACCCATTTTACGAAGTGGAAAATAAAACTAAAGGCACTCTGGCTGTAAAATCAATCAGAGGGACCTATATGTTGTCATGACAAAGACAAAGACATAGTAGAACGACAGGAATAATCAGGGGGTAGCCGGCGCACCCAGAGGACGTGCACCGCCCTCACAACTATGAGAATACATAAAGTGATAGCCTAAATGATGATAGTACCTGTGCAAGAGTCGAGCGTCTTTCACTGGTCAACTCAATGTCTCTGCCATCAACTACGCGACGCACTCGAAGTTTGAGTTTGGTTCGGATCTGAGTGAAAGTAAAAAAAAGTAATTCCATCGTATAGGCTCAATATCCATGTAGTCATGTAGTTAGAAAATCAGATCCCTAAAGATGGTCGTAGTACATGCGCACCGTTTTTTTATTTTTGTTTTGCTCCAGACAATTTGAAAATCGCGCCGGCCGATAATACGCTCAGTGGGGGGGGGAGGGGGGGGGGGGGGGGGGGGGAGGGGGACCCTGTCACTGTAAACTTGGTGTTAAAAAAGGAAATTTCTTACATTATACACTTCTAAGTTTTCTTTAAATAATGAGCGCGTCTAAAACTTGTCATCAGCCCTGAGTCTCAGTGACTCAGTTGTCATATTTTATGTAAATCAATTTTATTCAGTGCGTATCCTAAAAAAGTTTACCCAACTTTGGTAGCTTCTAATAAAAAAATGTATATCCTGTGTGATCTTTGTGCTGCCGAGGAAGACTGAACAGCAGGCTTTTCGAAAAGTATTGTCAAAATCCTCTTGTACCACGTTTGGGCTAAAGCAATGAATGTGGGTTAAAAGCCGTTATGTGTGTATGTGTTATATCATTCCAAAACATTTGCTCCTTCATTTACAATGACTATTAGGCAGTTGAAGAAAAAAAAGTGTTAACATCAATTCAAACTCAAAGAAATGCTTATACGAGCAAAATTTATGAAATTCTCTTCAAAGTGATGATTAAAATCTTGCCTTTATTCGCATCCCTTATATTATGAAAGTCTGACGTCAATTTCGTTGATATTTATCATCATAAATGTTCTTTCTTGCATTTGGGTTTAGCAATCTTTAAGTTTTGGATCGCTATTCGAGATAAACACCTTATGCTCCTTACACGTGTGAAATGACGCATTAGACAATTAGTGAGCAGAGAGAACTTAGATAATTATCATGAGACAAGAAGAAAGTAGGCTGTTTATAATAATTAAAAGGTTATCCCGTCGATTGAAACAAGGTTCTGTGAAAGCCTAGTTGCATTGCATAATTTTAAACAATGAAACACTGAAGCACGGGGCACAATTTAACTTTTAAAATGATTTAAGACCAACTGTTTATTGATACGCCCTGTATTATATACCATTAGTATTGTTTGAATATTTTGTATATGATTTTGTCAATAGATGCAGAAATATCTGCTAAAAAATAAAAACAATTAGCTTACTTCGTCATTTGCTGCAACTTGAAACACGAGAAGAAGAAACCCCTATGACAAAAAGAGTAAATAAAAATATTTTGTTTTATTTAGTTTACTAACATTTTAAAAAACACTCGCTCATTTTACTCTCTCATAAATCTCTGTAATTTATGAAATGGTGGTCCACGAATGTCATTAATTTTGCAAATAATATCATATTGAAATCAAAATCATGAAATCTGCAAATTGAGGAAAGTTGCAATGGGAAGAGAACGTGCAACAAATTAATGTATCACCCCAGCCCCCCCCCCCCCCCCCCCCCTCATGACGCCAAGACACGCAACTGGAATACAGACTCGGTCTAACACATTTTCATTGAGATGGAGAGAACATAATATGTCATCACTCGCTTGAATCCCCCTCCCCCCTCCGACGCCAAGGTCCAGATACACCACTGGACTAAAGACTCAGTCCAACACAATGTCATGTATTCTTGAATTGATAAAATAAAATATAGGGGATGAAAATTTAATACTGTTACCTGAAGCGAATTGAGAATGGCAAAGATATACTGGAAACTGACGTGAAGATTCACAAAGATTCCAAAAAGCCATGTCAGACCAAGTGTAGGTGCCAAGATAGTGACGGCTCGGAGACTGGACCTGCATAGACGACAAACAGAGAGAGCAAGATTAAAGCCCCACTGTACTACTTGTAGCTACTTGTTTCCTCTATATAGAAAACAATGCCTAAACGGTGACCATTGGTCCCCCATGATCCTCTTTTTCTTATGTTAAATGAGAGCTGAGTTGATGAGATAGCAACCTGTCAGTGACTACTCTGGGTGGTCTAATCCCTCCTGGCCAAACTAGTACAGACAGGCTTTAAAAGGACCATCAAGGCTCTTTTACATTTAAACGTTTAGCTCATCCAAAAAATACAAAGTATGCACATTTGGTTTGACATGCAACTGGCGATAATTTATCGGATATCCCCGATTTTTCAAATCTTACTGCATAAGAAGTTGAATTTACCCATTATGACTGTAATATGAGATCTTTAAAATGAAAAGGAAAGAAATGTATGTCATCCGCTTACGCGTGGAAATCTCTTCCTTTGCCGTACACAATATACATTAAAGTTGTAATGGAGAGAGAACGTGCACTGCCATACCCTTACTCGCAAATTAGGGAAAGCATATTCATACATGTATCACAATTGGCTCGGATATGATTCGGTGAATAAACATATACATATATTTATGTACATGCATATAAATAGGGGCTACCTCTGTATAAAAGCCACCTGTCTATAGTGTCCATCTATTTTGTCTCCCTTGAGAAAGAAATATGTGTCGTAGAACCTGTCTAGAAAAGGTGGCCACTATAGTGGCCACTTGTTCGGCTTCCCTTAATTGGGTAGCCTTAATATGCAGGTTCGACTGCATAAATGTTGATATATATATATATATATATATATATATATGTATATATTTATTTGTATCGCGATCTTATGTATGAATCAAGAAGAAGATCACGCGAATCGTAATCTTGACCAATAAAAGGATACACTCTGAGAGCTACGATCGCGTCATGTGCGTACACAATGTATGTGTGTGTGTGGGAGTGTTTGTGCGTTTGTATGTGTGTGTATGTATGTATGTCATATTCATTCGTACCAAAGCTTATCCATCTCGGATTTATTCTTGAAAGCCTTCACAGATAAGAACGACCGCATCGCCCAAAAGAACGCACTCATGCTGACCTGTTCCAAATCAAGAGATGAAAAGGAGCATAGTTATTTAGTATTATATATGCATAAGTATCTATCCTATAAAATGACAACAATAAACTAACTATGTAGATGTCTTTTAATTCTGCAACCAACTCAGATTAATTTTAATGCACATTTGCGTCTGTTCAGTCACTTTCTAGTGGCAAAATACATGTGGCAAAATAAAGCATAAAAGTTACTGTTTTAATTTAAAACAAACCGGGAAATCAATATTAAACATTGTTCGTATTATGACGAGATAAGCGTTTAATTTTTTTTTTACAGTTTTAAGGTTAAGCAAAGCTTGAAAAGAGCAGAATTCTAAATTCCATTGCAATGCTTTCTGACTATTAATTGTCATGCAAGATTTGTCAAGATTTAGGATTATGCATTTGATTTTCTAATTTTGTTTGCGTTTTGTAAATGTAAACACAAACCACAAGAATGGCGATGACAGGACCGATAAATGCCCAGACGCCTCCCTCCTCTGTGGACAACCAGCAGCTGAAAAAAAGAGAGACAGAAAGAAGATGTTATTCTGGTCAGTGGCGTAGCTAAGAGGGGGCACGGGGTAATAAAATAAAATGGCGGAAAAGGACGAATAAAGGGAAATAATTGAAAAGCGGAAGGTGGAGGGAACGTGGAGGGAACGTGAAATGATGGCCACATGACTAACTCTCACCTCCATTCCCTAATTCATAGTCTAGCTGATTCGCATTTCATCCGTAAGATTGATTGTTGATGCCCCCCCCCCCCCCATAATTGAGGTGCCCCTCAATATCTGGACCCTTGAGACGCCATTGATTCTGGTAAAGTATTCCCCATTTCTATTTTGCTTTAAATAGTTACATGTAGATCCTTCACTGGGTTTTTTATATTGAATTATACAAATCCATTTCGCAAGCTCTTTCCTTATATGGGTAAAAAGCGCGCCAAAATTTGCTCCTCAATTTAGGATAAGGACCGCTTAAACAATGATAAAAACACTTAAAAACACCAGTTTAGCCAATATAAATGTAAAACAAGCCAAGCTTATATTCACTCAATGTTATATATCGTGAATGATTTTTGTTTCTCTGTTTCTTCATATATTACTCTTAGAGGGAATAATTTGTATCAGATCCAACTAGACTTTCAAATACAGATGGGATATGACAAAACATTTTAATGTATGTAATTTAGTTTGTATGCTAGCAATGAAAAAAAATGATTTAAAAAAGGACATTCTCACTAGGATCCACTTGTATACAATCCACTCTTAATAGCGGCTGTCAGTCCAACAATCACTGCAGGAAGTCCTAAAGACATGAAGAAGAAAACAAATGGAAAACCAATTATTTGTTTGTATTTGTACTTGGATTTGAAGATCTGTTTAAGCCATAGTTACGAGCAAGAGAGAAAGGGTAGTTTAACGTAATTGTATTTCTGTTTGTATACGTAATTTTACATGTTCAAGCAACGGTTATACAGTCTTATCAATACCTGGGGCACTGCAATTATGATTATTATTCCCCCACACGGCCAGATATCCATTTAATCCATCTGGGGGGAGAGGGAATGTGGGTATAATAGCACCTCGTCCGGGAATGTAAACACCTAGGATCGAACCCGATAATACATTTGCTCCTGCAACAAATGATCTGTGTTTTATTTTGGCAAAGGTATATGGGGTTATAGCCTTAAGGTTTTAATCATTTTAGGTTAGGTTAAGGGTAAGGATGGGGTTTTAGGTGAGGTGGTAATAGTGGTGTGTCCACGGTTGAAGTTAAGAAGTGGGTAAGTGTAGGAAATTTATGCTGAGCAATTGCCGCAGGAGAAAATGGTGTGTAACCTCGACCAAGGAACTCTCAAAGGCCTTCACCAATACATCACAATGTCCCTACAAATGCTATAGGAGTAACGTGATGGTTTCCCTGCAAAGCTCACCCCATCCAAAGAGGGCATAATGCCTCTTTTTCATTCGAACTTTAGAGAGCATCTGGTATCCTAGTTGCAGGAGAATGTAGATACCCTGACCTAGCATCCAACAGAAGACAGACAGGAACGCAAAATGGGTGAATCCAGCCACAAGACCGCACAGTACCTGATAAAGATTCAATAAGATATAATCATACCACTTTTTTACCTCCATGCTTATTTCTGATCTGACATGGACAGGGCTCTGTGTCATAAAATCTATGATCAATAACAACTGTCACATTTCAATAACAAATTAATGAAATGCAATTATATTAATCCAGTATCTCTTAAAGGTGTAGACCAGTTTTGGAAACGCCCCCCCCCCCCCCCTCTTAAAAAAATGAAATGGAAGTTGATACGTGATGATACAAATTTTGCCTGGAAACCGCCTACTAATTGATATATTTGGTAAATAATTATATCTATCCGGACTGGATGGATATCGTGTTGTCCCATATACATCTTTCTGTGTACAGTGCTTGTAACTTTCCCAAGACTATGTCAAGTTTCTTATCATTTTGATGATTTTAGAACCTTGCAGTACATACCAATACTTATATGCTAGATGATCAACCTTTTCTGATCGATTCCACAACGTTTCTTTCACAATGCAATCGCATGACCAAAACTGGTTTATACCTTCAACAGTTTTCTGGTTATTTTGACTGACTTGTAGTTGATTTAAAATTAAAAAAAAATCACAAAACAGGGCAAAGGTTTTACTTCCACCTGACAACAGTACCTGACATAATCTATTCCCTGGAATGCACTATGTGATGGTAATGGTTACCAGTGCTAAAGTGATAATGTGATTTTCTTTTTTTTGGTCAAACCATTTCAAACGCATGTTATGACAATGAACATTTAATGAGACAAATACATCCTACAAAACAGAATGATATATTATCATTCTTTAGAATTAACAAACTTGTTTGTTTTCAAGTAAAACGAAAATATCTAGAAGATATTTTGGGGTTAAAAACTATTCTGAGGTTGCATTTTGATCAGTGAAGAGATACAAATTACATTCCAACTGAACGTTCGACCATGAAATGACCATCATTTGTACTTTAGTCAGTACTATTAAATCTTAAATTGAAGAAAGTCATTGATCATGCGTTCTTGCATAATATACAGATCATTATCAGACTCAAATGTATACCTTGATATTTCTCGCATGCTCAACTCCAGAGATAAAGAGAATCTGAGCTACAAAGATGGCGATGCATTGGTTCTTGATCAAGAAAATTCGAATGCTATAAATCCTGAAAAAACAGAGTTAACGATAAGAAATTAAAGAATTGAAAAGAAAGTCTTAGTTTCTCGTTTTAAAAGAGTATCAAGAACAAATCAAGAGAATACCTGTATGTCAACTGCAGCTGCTTTAAGCATGTGGAATCTATCAAATCAGGCTGCACTTAATCCTTATTTTTACTAATCAATCAAATGAGAAAGGGTCCATTATTCCTAAGGTTCGTAATTCTACAAAACGATACTAGGTTCTATGTCTTTTTTAATGTATTAACGTTTGGAAAGATGAACTCTATTTTCTCTTTGGAAATACGAACCTTCAGAACTATTTGAACCTTCGGATTAACGAATCTTTGGAATTGGGAAACTTCGGAAAAAATATATGTAACCTGCATTTTCAAAAACGTTGTTTGTTTGTTTGTTTATTTCGTTTTGTTTTACCTGCCAGGCTAGGAAAGCATAATGTATGCTTGTAAGTAAACGGCCAGGGGACCGACGGCTTTAAGTCCTCTTCAAGGGACTTGGCAATGAGGATTAACACCTTACCAAAGGGCACTAGCGCATCGACTTGGTTTCGAACCTCGGACCTCCCGGATACGAGACCACTGCTCAACCACTGAGCCTTCGCGCCTCCCTTTTTTTATTCAGATTTTGTTTTAATCACCTGAATTGTTTTAATTGGGTCCTATACATACCTGACAGAGAAAAGGATAATCAATGCAATGATAAGAGATACAAGTGAGATGGAGGTCCCTATGTATGTGATGACCGACAGGCGTTCGTTGTGCTCAGCTGAGTTCTGTTTAAATCAAAGCAAAAAGATACATACTTAACAAACTAAGTTGATGTTTTCAAAGAGAATTAAGAGGCGGAGACCTTCATACATTAAAAAAAAGGATGAAAATACCCTCCATTGCAAGTCTTGCGATAGGGGTCACTTTTAAATCATTCGTGTACTAAATATCTAATTTTCATGTACAGCATTCAACATTGCTTGCGTTTGATTTTGGGTTTTCATGAATCTGAGTTACAGCCAAAAAAATTCTAACAAGTAAACAATGCTTTACAAACAAAACTAAGTAATCTAAAACTTGAAAACAGTGGATATTATGTAATGGCATAATTCTGCACGATCATTCATAAACAAATCGATTGATTACTGGGATGAGTCTTTTCCGAAGCGATCTCTTTATCGAGCTTCCTAACATTTTTTGTAGAATTTGTGTTGGTTTTTATAAGTCGATTTTCGCTGTATAGCCTTTTACTCATCATGATTTTACCAGCATGTTCAGAGAGGTAGGGTATATATTATAAAGGTATAGAGACGATGTGCAAAATAAAAGTAAATTAATCACTTTTTCGATCACAATTTCCCTTCATTTAAGTGTTTTTTCCTGCTTTTCCTCAAACTAAGTTTCAATACGCATAAAGCTTAAGTTGTCCTATTAATCTATATTTAAAATATTGCTCTTACTACGTCATCGGTTAACATTAGGATGGCAAAGTTGGTAAGGTGGTTACATGAGCAGATAATGAAGTCATCATCCTCGTCATCATCCTCGCCATCATCATTATAATCATTATCATAGTCTTCATCTTTCCTGGTACAGCCATCGGTTGACCATGTCAAACTGCCTCCACTAAAATCACAAAAGATTAAAACAGTGCTTGAAATGTTCGATTTGAAAGTTTCATAATATTTGCTATTATCATTGTTTTCTTAGCAGTTGATTTAGTTCGTCTTCTATTTTTCTTCTTCTTTTACTACAACTTCTTCTTTTTCTTCTACTACTCCTTCTTCTTCTTTCTTTTCTCCATCTTTTTCTTTTTATTATTATTATTAATATTATTCATCATTATTACTGTAATTATTATAGTATCATTATTATTATTTTTGTTGTTATTGTTATCATTACTATTGTCATAAATAATATCGGCATTTTATCATTATTATTATTATCATCATCATTATTATTATAATCATTACGAGTATTTATCATCATTACTTTGTTTAATGTTACCATTATATTAATCATCATTTCTTTCCATAAACTTCGGTTAGGAGTCGTTCTGACGGTGTACGTATTAAACTGAGGTATGATTACGAAAAAGGATTAATGAGAGACAGGCAGAGAGTATAAGAGGGTGGAAGAGGAATGGCGGGAAAATTTTAAGCTACCTGTCTATCATGAATGCACATGTCGGTTGGTAGTCTTCATCAGGAGGCTAAGTATGATAATTAGAAGAAGACAGTGAGAAAAACATGAAAGTTAGGTCTTTTGAACTGTTGCTAAATGGTACATACATACTTATATATCAATGCAGATTAAACATCTTGGACACAACAATAACAAATAATAGATAACAAGATGTAGAGAGGTAGATATATTTGTAACCATTAAAAAGGGGGCACCACCCATCTTTTTCACTTTATTTGTGCACTATATTGTCAAAATATTAAAGTAATCTGGTTCACTTTTGACGTCATCACCTCCTATCCAATTGAATATAAAGGGGTGGAAATTCACTGAGCCAAAATGGGTTTATGCCTCTATTTACTTTCCAATCGCTCCCTCTTCGTATGACCAAGCAAAAGTGTTAACCCTTTATAGCATGAATTTAATTTGGTCAACAACTTATTACAGAAAAATACAAAACCACCATCGTGTTTTCCGACTATGAAGTGATGTTCAACAGAGTATTAGTCATTTGGAATCATTCCAAAATATTAATTGTCTGCGGCGCAGCCATGCACCTCAACCCCCACCCACACACACCCAAACACACACACACACCTATTTTGCCACTGCACTGTGCTGATCGGATATTACAGTCTTTGAGGATGAAACGCAGTGTGTCAAAAATGATTGATGTCAAAGTATTTTTATTATTCGTAAAGCCTATAAAACGAACCAATTAGCAAATCACCAATTGAGCACTTTCATAGATACGGAATATACCTCGCACGTCATATTGCGAGTACTCTTTCAAGGTTGACCTCAACCTGTATACATAATTCAAATGTTAAATATTCATAAAGTAAAATATCAAATAGAAATTGATGTTAAGTCATTCTTTGAACCATTGCGTCGATACAAATTGTGGCTCACGGCTGTTGAAGGGTCAGTCTAATAAGCAATTTTAAAATGTCTTTTTATCTTATAGTAGGCCTATTAAACTTGACACAAACTTCAATCTAATTCATTAATTGCAAATTATAGGATGGCTGTTAAATCGATAATTACATTTTATTTCCTCCTATTAGCAAACCGATGTTGTATCAAAAGACACTTTGATATCCATCAGTTACCAGCCGGGAAAAAAATGAAATTGGATTTGAGTACTTCTGTTTGCCAGATATTAAATTGCGGCAGAAAGGGTGATTAGACAATGCATCCATTCATCCACAGAATTATTGTAGACATGTAAAAACTAATTAGGTTAAGTTAAAAGGATTGGAGCCGTTACAAGTGCAACTGCTCAAAACGATTTTCAAAAGCATGAATAATATATATATATAATATATCATAGAGCAATTTAATTGTTTTTCTTCGATTCTTTATACAGCAGGATATGCGATCTTTTTCAATGCACATATTTGACCATGCGAGTTAATTTTAATTTCTTGTTTGGTCTGTTGTCGGTCGGGTGTTAGTATCATTGGTGTGACTGAGATAGAGCCCAAATTTCCCTCTCATTTTTTTTTCTCTCTCTCTCTCCTCCCCCCCCCCCCCCTCTCTCTCTCTCTCTCTCTCTCTATCTCACACACTTTTTATCCTCCTCCGCCTACACCTCTTCCTATTCCTCCCCTTCCTCCCCTTCCTCCTCCTCCCCTCCTCCTCCACCACCCCCTCTCCTCCTCCTACCGCAACCCCTCTCTTCCCCCTTATATTTGTGATAAAGGTTTGAATCATGGGAAGC